TGAAGAAGAAACAACTGCAGAAATATTTAATAAAAATATGAAAGAAACAAAAGAATTGAATTTAGAATCCAATAAAATATGTCCAGACAAACAGGGTAATTTAATTATTAACACTGAAGAACCACACAATAGCACTATAACAACCAAAGAAAAAAGCAACGAATTAACGACAGATACAAGTATAAATAATACGAAGTTTGAATTAATTAGTCCTTTGAAAGTTAATCAGATTTCTAATGACACCTGTGCATCTTCTACAGAAAATAAATTGCTAAGTGTATCAACAAATATACCAAGAATACCTGAACAAGTATTAAATGCTGCTTTAGTTAATTCAAAATTACGAAAGAGAGAAAATTTAATCCTTCCAAAGCAAAATAAAGAAATGAAATTGAATAAAATAGGCAAAAATGTATCGATTAAAAATAAAAAAGTACGTGGAAAATTGTCTAAAATATCAAAAAACATAAGAAAGTGTGATGATTTAAATATTCAATCGTGTAATGCGACAGTCAATAGTTCACAATATGTTTCCGCGAATAGCAGAGTTAATAATAAACATGCCGATAATAATCATTTAAATTCTTTGGTTAATCCAATTGTATTATTAAAAAATTATTTACAACAAAATTTACATCACGAAGGATGGAAAAAATCCATACAAGAACGACAAAAGAAAGAATCATTACATAAAAAAATAGGTATATTGTTATATCCTTTTGTCAGTATATTATAATAATCTTTGAAAAATATTCTTCAAAGATAATTTTTTTTTTCAGATAAGTTTGTTTATAAGCAATTAAGTAGAATTGTTGATAATACTGATTGGGGTATGTCTGTACATAGAGATGTCGTTGAAAAATTGTCTTCTACATGTGGTGCTCGTATTATAGCCAAGTATGTAAATATATAACTATAAAATTCCTCTTATAGAATGTATTAATGAAAATGATGATTGTATAATACTTGTACATATTTTTTTTTTTTATTACAGCGGTATAGTGAATTTTATGCTTATAAGAAAAAAAGATGATATAGATAAAACTTATACACCACCAGCACCTATAATGACAGCAGCTCAACAAAAAATTGTAGCGTTATTAGTTGATCTTGAAATGAAAGTACCTACAGTGATCAAATGGGTTCAAGATGGAATCGAATATAAAATTTTTAGATTGAATTGCACACCTACGGTATGTGATTGTGAATTTTCCTTATTTTTTTCTTTTCTTTTTAATTTTATAAGATAATTGATATCATGTGAAAATATTTCTATTTAATTATTTAGTTTTGTCAAATCGAAAATCTCATACGATTATACATTGCTCTTACAAGGATACAAAAGGATCGAGAAAAACTTAGAGTGTTATGTTGTGATGCTTTATATTGTCTCGGAATGTCTGCAGTTTCAGTTATTTACATAACATTGACATGTTGGCCAGAAGTACTTCCAAAATTTACAGAAAATAATGGTTGGTATATATTTACATATGTATATTTATATTATAGTATACACATAATAAAACTTATATAATAAGAGTAAATTATATATATATAATAATCATAAATATAAATTGTTACATTTCAGATATGTTATCAAAGTGCTTAGTGCATTGTATTATGTGTCTACAGGCTGATAATTTTCCTCAGTTACAAAATTTGAAAAATTACTTATCAATGTATTATAATTATAAAAAAGGAAGTTATTTAACTAAAAATCTAGTAGAAGAATTATTAAGATCTTTTGAAAGTAAGATATTAAATTTATGTATGCTATATAGAAATATTACAAATGTTTCAATAAACATATATATTTTTTTAGTAGGAAGTAATTCTAAGGAAAATATTGAATGTTTGAGAACAGCTGTAATATTACTGGCAAAAAAGGAAGGTGTCACATGGACTCATACTAATATTATAAAAAACATTTTATTACCAAATATAGTTGATAGAAAGTATGCTTATGTGCAAGAGGTATTCGCTTTACTCGGTAAGTTTTTATTGAAAAGATATCAAAATCATATCTCTATACCAATAAAAGAAATTATAATAATATTTATATCTATATAATTATATCTATTATAATTATATATCAAAATCATATCTTTATACCAATAAAAGAAATTATAATAATATTTATTTTTATATAGGCAATCTTATGCGTACCTTTCCTTTAGAAGATAAGGATGGAATTGTAAAAAATATTGTCGAACAACTTATAGATTTACTTGATTCGGGAGAAGGTAATACAAAAATATATATATCAAAAAAGAAAACAATGATATATTTTAATTATAACATTTGATTCGATATTATAAATATTACAAACAAATGCTGTAATATTTGTTTTATTATTTTTTAAATTAGGCCTCCACGATCAACAAGAAGGCGTAGCATCAGCATTGCTAAGTTTATCTAGACACGACTTGACGAAAGTTATAAATTGTGTAATGAAATGGATCCCAAAGGAACCTTTAAAATCTACAACTATGGATCAATATTTTGCACTGTTCAGTCTAAGAACAAAAGCTTATTGGAAAAAATATTTAGGATCTGTTAAAAAAGTAGTAACCCAAATAGAATCTAAGGATACTTCTAATCATAATGTGTACAACGAGAATAAATAGTATAATTACACGCAATAATATGTTTATAGAAGTTTCTCTGATTAGATAACAAATCCGTACAAATCGTTATTTTAAATAATTTTTTACTATATGAGATAATTGAACGCGATAAAAAAAATGTTTATAAGAGACTAGGCATTAATATTTAAAATCTAACTTAAATTTCCTTTGTTTCTATTTCTTTTTTAAAAGATTTTGAAATTAATGTGCAATTTTACATAAAGTATTAATTAATAGATTACGATTTAGAATTAGTATTGACAATGAGAATAATATAGTAAACAAATCCAAATATTTTTAAATATTCTTCTGTAAAAAAATAGTGAAAAATGAATATTCCTAATTTTTGTGTTAATTAGTTTTGGATAATTATTTTACATATATCTCAGATAATATTTGTTAGTTAAATAATAATGTATTAGAAATAATAGATCATCCCTATCTATTATCAATAATAGATCATGCAGTGCGCTTTGCATACAGATAAAGTGTAGATATATATAACGTGTGATATAATAACAATTTCATCATTTAATTTAGTATTCATATATTATACCATTTTGTAACGCTTCTTAATATGATATTTATCCATATTCGATTCGATTTAAAATAATATTAATAATGGCATATATATAAATAGAGGAAATGAAAACTTGTTGAATTAGGGACACACATCAGAAAAACAAAGATAGCTTATCTATTTTTGTTATTATTGTTTACAGTGATCAATAAATGCATAGTACGGAATTTATAATTATATAATTTATAAGTTTAAATATTATTGAACTATTCCATGGGATATATATTTATATTCCAGGAAAGTTAATAATGTATGACTGATTAGTCGAGGAAACACTAATATCATCAGTGAATGATGACTTTCCTGAGTTAAGGCGAGGTTTTAACTATAGTTAAAGAGAGAAAGGGAGAGGGGAAAGATAGAGATAGACAGAGAGAGAAAATATAAAAAAATAAAACAAATGAATACTCACGAATTAATAAGTTAACTTATATATATATATATATATATATATATATATATATATATATATATATATATATATATATATATTTGTGATTGAGCATACGCCCCTCTCCCCATTTACAGAATATCTCAATAATATATATTAACTTTTTCTGTAATATACACAATGCATTTCAGTATTTATGCATATGAACATTTTTTAGGAAACAAGGTGTTACAAGGTTTTTTAATAGCATTTGTTTGCTTTTTGTTTTTCTTTTTTTTTTTTTTTTAATAAGATGACGCCGAAAAATAACGGTTAATGGATCATGAAAATGATAATGTGACAATGAGAATAATAATAATTAATAATATTAATGATGAAAAAATATTTATAATATATAATAGAGGAGAGATAATAATTATAATAATTAATAATGATAGCTATGTGTCAAGGACAATGATGATAGTATTTTTTAATAACGATAATAATGATAATAATTAAAAAAAAAAAATAATAATAATAGTTATGATCGTGATAGATGAGGATGATATGACGATAATTAATTATAATAGTAGCAATAATAATATATAATAATTAATAATTAATAATAATTATAATAATAATAATAATAATAATAATAGTAATATAATAATCATAATAATATTGACGATGACAACTAATAATAATAATCAACATATTTAGCTTTTACACACAAAGAGCATGTTAAATACATGTACATGTTTTTTGTATTACAAAAATAATAACAATTTTTGAATGTAACATTGCCGATCAATGATCTCTTTCTATCWTTTTTACTTCTTTTTTTTTTTTTCTCTTTCTTTCTCTTCTTATTTTTGTTTTTATTATCGTTCAATAGTAAATTCATAATATTTTCTCTCAGTTATTATTGTTAGTTTTAAAGAATACTAGGTACCATCATTCTCCTTTAGATATCGATATTTGTTTTATAATAATAATTTTTTATTTATTATATTTTTGTTTAATTCGACATTGTCTTTGGTACATTCAAAACGGACAGCATACCGCGAGTTACGAATTTTGGTATATGTAGTTTATTTATTTATGTATGCATTCATTTATTTATTTTGTATGTGTTGGACGGGGTACCAACCATCCGCCGTCATAAAGCGCACGCATAATTAATTATTAATCATAATAAAAGAGGTCTAGGGTGGGGTAATGATGGTAGTTGTAAGGGGTGTGATGAAGAATATTTTTATCTTTTTCTATAAGAGCAAAAAAGCACCATATACGTGTATCATCTCATCGTGTACACACTCATGCACATATCCACAGGCACATACAGTCACTCACACAGATAAATAGCGATGACGATAGATAATTATGATGGTCATAATTATGACGATCAAGATTACCATGATAAGATGACATCATGGTCACGATGATATATTTATTCAAATAACATTATGATATTAATATTGTTTATTAAATAATAGTAATAATAATAATAATAATAATAATAATAATAATAATAATAATAATAATAATAATAATAATAAATTAATTAAATAATTATTTTATTTAATTAATAGTAATCATTTCGTCGAAGATGGATATGATAAAGAAATATATATTATATTATTAATATTGTTATTTCTGTTTACGTTTTTTATGAATGTAACTAGAAGAGCATCAAATTTATTTGATTTAATGGTGGTGGTAACACGAACCATACTATTATAATTTATATATAAATTGTTATTTTAATTATTATTATTATTTATTTATTTTTTTGTTGTTGCTGTTTTTAAATTAACGTGTGTGCTCTCTTTAATATTTGATAGTTTTACTTTCTTTCGCACCCCACTCATAAATATATATTTATATTATGCGCGGCGCTGTCTAATGTACTAAAATATTAATTATTCATTCATTATATATCACTCTGTGTAATTACGGTCAAATGTGTTAAATATGTTAATACATGTATTATTTCTTTTTTATTTAAATAAATATATGCATACGCACATACATATAAATATATATATATATATATGTACATGCCTAGAAAGAAATATTTTTAGAAGCACAAATGTCCATTATCCTTTTTTTATCTTAAATTATTTTCTTTTTTATCTATAAATTTATATATTTTTTTTCTCTCTCGATACTTGGAATTCGATCAATCACAAATGATCTTTTTACGTCACATGGATGAAGACCCAAAGAGAAAAAAAATATATAAAACAAACAATAAAGAAACAAGTGTCACAAAGGACTGTGTATGCCACATATACACATAACACGCACACACACACACCTAACAATCGCAATCAATTTTATCTTGCAGTGAATCTTTTACATCAATCAATTGTAATTACTTATTCAGATACTGCATTAATTACATACGTATTCTCATCTTGAGATACTTATCGATATTCAATGAATGATAATAATAATAATAATAATAATAATAATAATAATAATAGTGATGATGATGATGATGATGATGAAGATGATGAAGATGATGACGATGATGATAATGATGATGATGATGATAGTAAAGTATAATATAATGTAATATAATATAATATAACATACTATAATATAATATAATATAATATATAATATAATATAATATAATATGAGATATAATATAATATGATAT